ATTACAGTAGCAGACATGTCCGAGAACCATAGAAGAGCTTGTTCATGCCGTTGAAGAATTGTTTGCTGAGTACTCTACAGAAAAGATAAACTACATGTTTTTGAACATTGAATCATGCATGAAAGAGATCATGAAAATTGGAGAAGCAAACAATTATAAAATCCCACATATGCAAAAAACGACCCTTGATAGAGAAGATTGTCTACCTCTTTAAATTAGTTGTGATATTTCACTGGTCCAAAATGTAATAGATACACTAGCACCATATTCATGGTTTTATTATCTCAAACTGTTGAATTCTTTGTTGGACTTTTCTTATTGGTTCAGTTTTCTATTGGATTTATTATTTTTTATTAATTTTTGTTTTATTGGAATGAGAATAAATATTGTGTTGATTTATATGCATTTGATAAAATGTTTTAACAACAACAGTACAATCAAATCAAAACAAAAATATCTACTCACTTGATAATTTTAATGATGGGAAAATACCAAATTAAAATGATAATCCAGTCACTTACGTATACAAATTTTAAACTAGTGTTTTCTTACTACTTAATTTATGTAAAAAATAACTTGAATGAAACAAAGCAATAACAACATATAGAAATTTGTAATTATGTTTCACATATTTTTTATGGCCATATTTCAAATATTTTTTATTACGAAATAACTTGCAATAACATATCACATTTAAATGTAAAAAGAATGCAGGAGAACTTCTTCGGTTGCTTTGTGAGGGTGAAGTTCTCCTTCATCATAAAAACAAATTATTCAAATCAAAATCATGATTGACAAGGTAAAAATCCTTGTAAACTGGTAGCTCTTCTTTCTCCTTGGTCTCTTCTTTCTTCTTTTTTATATAATGACCTTCATCGTACTGTAGGATTATATAATGGTGGGTGATGGAAACTTAGTAACAAATTTGTATTTTGTCAAACCCACATAACGGTTTAATTGAACATTGAAACTTGAATGAATTTGACTAGAAAGTACTACGGTAAAAACAAGGGTAAAAAAGGTCTAAAGTCACAATATTTTGCCTTGAAGTTTGGAAATGTTTGACACAAAACATTTTTCAGTTACAAAAGTGTCAAACCGTCAACTATATCAGAATGGAGGGAGTAGTAAAACTTACATGACTGAAATTCAAACTTACATTACAGTAGCATACATGCCCGAGAACCATAGAAGAGCTTGTTCATGCCGTTGAAGAATCGTTTGCTGAGTACTCTACATAAAAGATAAACTACATGTTTTTGAACATTCAATCGTGCATGAAAGAGATCATGAAAATTGGAGGAGCAAACAATTATAAAATCCCACATATGCAAAAAAGACCCTTGATAGAGAAGATCGTCTACCTCTTTAAATTAGTTGTGATATTTCACTGGTCCAAAATGTAATAGATACACTAGCACCATATTCATGGTTTTTTTATCTTAAACTGTTGAATTCTTTGTTGGACTTTTCTTATTGGTTCAGTTTTCTATTGGATTTATTATTTATTATTAATTTTTGTTTTATTGGAATGAGAATAAATATTGTGTTGATTTTATATGCATTTGATAAAATGTTTTAACAGCAACAGTACAATCAAATCAAAACAAAAATATCTACTCACTTGATAATTTTAATATTTGCCATGGAAAGATATCTTTCGATAAATCAAACATAGGTAGTCAAGTTATAAACAATATATATAATATGTTTTACCATGGTATGTTGAATAATTGTAATTATATGTCAATATTGAAGTTCTTGGTACATAGTATACATATAATTTGATGAACAAAAGTTAAAATATAATGCACAATATTAATACAATAATAGGAGGCATACCAAATTTTTTTACATAGACATATATTATACATAAATGTTTGTATTATACGTATAAATATACATATAAAAAATAAAAATTCCTCCCTGCGTACTCTCCGAGTTTTTTCCGATTTTTCGATTAATCGGTAGGTCCGGATGCACCGCACGCGTACCGCCTAGCGAATTTCCAAACAAGGAGTAAAACTCTTAAGTAGACTTAAAAACATGAGAGAGTGCTATAGAGACATGAAGACAACCACGTGGCAGGTTGGGTTGGAATAAATCAATTTGGGTGAAAAATCGATTTAACATGAACCGGAGAAACAACGAACGGAGTCAAATGTTGACCAGAACTCGTCTCCCATATACCCCTTCAATCATCATTAATCCTAGTTTCTTAACTGAGGTTCATAACTTCGATTAAAAGACAGTTCTTATATTTTCTTAGATTTTAAATAAGAAAAATTAAGAAACGTCTCTTAAATAAAAGATATAAAAATCACCTCTTAATAAGAAAATGTTAAAAAAAAATGTTAAATCATGAGTTAAGAACACTTGCTAAGAGACCGAGATTAATTCTTCTTCTATGCGCTTTTACTTTACGAGCTATTGAACCAACAAGCTGTTAATGATCTTTTTGCGAGAATTTCACTTTTACCTTTTATTTGGTATCATTATTCATATTTATCTTCTCTAAATGGACATTTTCAAAAATACCTAACTATACATAACTATGAGACTTCATTAAGAAAACAAAAGACATTTCTACATGGGCAAATCTCCAAAATATCACAATTCTAAGTTTATGTCACAAAAATAGTCCTCACAAATTAAAATGACCAAAATAGCATTTTATAATTTAAAATTTTCAAATTTTTTTTTTATTTTTCAAAACTTGAAATCTTATCCCTAAAATCCCACTCCCCAACTCCAAACCCTAAAAGCTAAAATCTAAACCATAAATCCTAAACTCTAAACCCTAAACCCTAAATCCCATCCCTTAACTTTAAACCTTAATGTCTAAATTAATTTATTATTGGGATACAAATGTATATTTATCTCTTTTGATAAAACATTAAATGATATTTTGGTCATTTTTATTCTTAAGTGCTATATTTGTGACAAAAACTTTTTTAGTGCTATTATAGTCATTTTCTCTTTATACATTTGATTTATAAATATAAAAATTATTTAAATAAATATAAAAATTAAAAATTAAATAATAATATATTTTTTAAAAATTTCGAATTATAACTTTTTGAATTTGAAATTCTATTTTATTTTTCTTTTATTTTTATGAAATATATCTTTTTCGAATTTTTTTTTTAATTTTTTCAGATATAAATACTTTTTGAAATTATTGTAAAATGTTTTGCTTTTATTTTTGTATTTATATATATTTTTCTTAAAATTCTAAAACTTGCATTCTAAAATTTTCCCTCCCCCTCTCAAATCTAAACAAAAACGTGTAAGATTAGTTAAACATAGGGTTATAAGTATATATCCCTTCATATAATCAAAGGTGAATGTTGTTAAGGTAGAATTGAAAAATGGTACTAAGAAAGTGATAGTTTAGGTAACTTTCCATCTTCTTTTCTGTTTCTTATTATTCCTTAGAATTGTATAACCAAATTAAGAAATATATTTTAAAAGTAATATAAATAATCATTAATTCTATATCTAAACAAATCAAACAATAAAATAAATATCATAATATAAATATGAATATAACATAGAAATTAATACAAACTACATAAAGTTTAAAATTTTAACATAAAGTTTAAAATTTTAATATAAACTTTACAAATTTCATTTTAACAATTCTTTATATTCCAAATTATCTAAAAATTAAGAGAGTATTGTTTATTAAAAAAATTCTAGTCACACCTTAAAATTATTTTTAAAAAAACTGTGAGTCCTCCTAAATTTTTATTGTTTCCCTTGTTAGTTGTTTTAAATGCAATAATTTGTGGATCTATGGTATTTTCAAAATTCCAGTCAATATTATATAGTCAGAAAAAAAATATTATAAAAGACCTTAGTCACAAAGTTTCAAGCAGTTACACCCATAATGATTTACTGATATGTAAGATTTAATTAATCACAATACAGTGAGAAGCTTGGATTAAAGTGTAAAAGTTACCGTAGATATTAGAGACAAAGAGATCAGTTGAAACGTGATTATCCATAATCACACTTTATTGGGCCACTAATCAGCCCATATACCTACCGAAGGGCGCGTGTATGAACGAAATTTAACCTTTACTGAAGAGACAAAAAGATAATCATATATAAAAATAAAAGCATTTGACAACTAAAAAGGTGATTTATTTTTCTTCTTTCCGACGCCTTTCCTCTTTTCAAAAATCTCTCAAACTTTTTATTCTTTAGAGACCCTTTGAATCATCGGAAAAGCTCTTTTTGAAGTCACACCCCAACTAATAGTAGTTGAATCTTTTTGTTCCTCTTAAATTTTTCTATGTGTTTCCCCTTTGTGGAGATCTGATTGTTTCTCAATTCCTATTCATTTGTGGTGGGGAGTTTTGTTGAAAGTTTCTGAGTTTGCATAATTGATGCCCATCTTTTCGTCTTGAGTCCCAAAAAAGAGCTGTCTTTCTTCTCTGTTTTGGGGTTTGAGTGGTTGAAAAAAATATGATGGAAGCAGGTAGCTCCAATTCGTCGGGTCAACTTTCGGGGCGGGTGGTTGACACAAGAGGTAAACACAGGATCCACGCGGAACTCAAAAGGCTTGAACAAGAAGCTCGCTTCTTAGAGGTATACTCTTATCTCCTTTTTTAAAAAGAGATTCTTTTTACATGATTATTAAGCTTGAACTTGTTGTTCCTGTCTGAATATTTACTGTGTTTGGGTCAATCTTGTGTGTGCCTTTTCCAATGGTTTTAGAATGAATCTTGAGTGGAGTACGGTAGAGAATTTAAAAGTTTGAAACTTTCTAGTTTTTTGGAATACCCAAAGTGTGGATCTGATTTAAGATTCTATGTTTTGAATTTTTCTAGTGTGAGTTACTAGTGTCTCCCACGCTTTATGCTTTTATTTATTTCGTCCAAAAGACTTGATTGATATCTAATAGTACTAATCTGTTTTTTTGTGATGTGGAGAAAGTTGACATATAGTATAAGATGAATCCTTTAGCAATGAGCAATCTCACTTTCATTGACGAGAGTTTTTATGATGATTGAATAAAACATTTAAATCAGTAACAAAGGTTTAAAGATTGGTGAGGAGCGAAATTTTAAAATGTAAGATAGCTAGTCAGAATCAAAGGCAGGATAATATCTTGATATCGTGGTGAGGTTTAAGCTCTTGTACACGTAGCTGTTTTGGACATGAATACTTGTGCCTTTGGGTGTCTTCAAGTGTTGTAATCTAATATGATCCTTCCTCTATTTATATTCGTCAGGAAGAGCTGGAGCAGCTTGAAAAGATGGATACTGCATCAACTTCTTGCAAAGAGTAAGAAAGATCTTCTGCATATATGGTTCATTAGTGATCTCTGTCCATAGTTTTGACTCATTTCTTCTAATGGATGCAGGTTCTTAGACAGTGTTGACAGCAAACCAGATCCTCTTCTTCCCGAGTAATTCTACTTTTGTTCTCGCCATTTTTTCCTGAGATTCTTTACTGTATAGACTATTTGTTCTGATTTGAAAGTTTTTTTTCTTTTATTGTGTGTGGGTGACCTACTTGCAGAACAATAGGGCCAGTGAATGCAACATGGGACCAATGGTTCGCAGGCCCTCCGGAAGCAAAAGGATGTGGCTGCTTCATCCTTTAATCTCCATTTCCTCCTACGTTACCCTTTTTCTCCATACAAATTTTACATTCGTGAGCAGTTAAATTGATGTAATTTGAAAAAAATATGATTCATTTGTGCAGATAAAATGTATTAATATCTATCTCTGCGTCTATTAAATTACAAAGAATCAGAGTGACAAAATCTAAAACAAAGCAATATTCTTTTCTTTCAAATTTGAAATTCTAGACACAACGTCAAGGCATATGCCAAGCAGGCAAAGCATATCGAGCTGTTTCACAAGATGTTACTGCAGCAGTTACCAAACATGGTTCATCTATACAAACATATTCCATAATCTCTCACTATTTTACATGCATAAGAAACAAGACCAAAAAAAATGAGTTTTACCATAATCACTGTCAAGGTGAGACTCCTTAGATGGGAAGCTATAGAAATCTTCAATATCATCTTCTTCTTCTTCTTCATCAAGTTCATATCGCCTTTAGCATACTCAATCACTGGCTCCTGAGATTTTTTAATGAATTAAATTATCAGAACAACAAAGCTGCATCTATGTTGGATGAGCTGCTTAGACAGAAAAAGAGCACCTCCTCTTCTACAACTTCCACTTCAACCTGCGTTTCACCATCAAGAACTTTAATCCACTTATCCTCTGGGTAATTGAGTACTTCAGGGTAAACGCCTTTCTTCAAACGCCCTAACAACTCGGTTTCAATGGACTGCTGCAAGAAAGAAAAAAAAGCACTATCGTAAGTACCTAAGAGCTAAAGTGAGTCGGCACAAAAATAATAAGTGTGACCATATCCAAATTTGCTGCTATTACAGCATTTTCATCTCTTCTCAACTTTCTCTTTGTATCCCTCCCTAGGCATAGACATTATCTTCCCCCTGAGATTGGAAAACAAAGACACCACAACAAGAAAAAAACTAAGATATGTTGTGAATCAAATAACATATACCAAACACCAAAAAAAAAAAGAAAAAGAAAATCAACCTTGTTTTGAGAGCAATTATTTTCATACGAATGCGCATCTTAGTCATTTTGATCAGTCTTTGTTTAACCTTGTGCTGCAACAACTTGGGCCAGTATAACTGAAACGGAAATATACCTTGATAGATCAGCATAACTTGAAAAGAAAGAAGAAGAGTGAATAACTCAAATTTGGTGATCAGTCTGTCTCACCAATATCAATTAAATTATTTTAGTTTTTCAACAAATATATACTTCCTTTGTTTGGTAAGATAGATGTTAATATTTACAAAAACAATATTTTATATGTTTTATTTTTAGAAATTGTAAACTTCAAAAAATAGTTATATATATTAAATTACCAAAATTATTGCAAATTGATAATTAAAAAAATATGTATTTATGATAGCGATTTAATGTGGTTTTTTAGCATGTATGAAATTATTAGAAATCTATCTCCAATGAATGGATGTAGTAATTTATTGATTTTCAGATTATATAATTTAATATATTTTAAATATAAATAGTATTCTCTCTGTTCAATTTACTTGTTATTGTAGAGTAATTTTTTTTTAAAATAAGTGTTTTTTTATAATTTCAGTACAAAATTTATTAACTTTATCTGCTATTATATTTTGCTATTGGTTGAAAAATAGGTATGTATATAGGTAATTGTGTTTTTATCTTGAAAATATGTAAAATTCAATATTTTCTTTAATATGTGTGAAAAAAATTAAAATCTATATAATAATGATTCACTTTTGAAGCTCTTAAGGCTATCCACATCAGCAGCCGAGTGGGTCCCGCGCCTGTTTTATTCGGGAAAAACAATATATAATATTTTTTAAGATTGAATGTTATCAACGAATAAAGATTTGGTCGAGTGGTTTTAGTTGAAGACAAGAAGTTTGTACCGCGAGTGCGCGGGTTCGAAACACAGTGCGTGCATTTATTTTTATTTTCCATTTGGGCTTTTGGGTTTCATTTGGACTGTAAGGTTTGGGCCCACCTCCGTTTTGTTTCAACATACGTGCCGTTCTTCAAGCCATCCACCGTTTTTCTTGCATTGCATGTTGTTTTTCTTCAGACTGATCTTTTGTTTTATTTATTGGGCCTCGATCTCTTTGTCTCCCTTACCGATCTATATCGACGTTCAGAAGAAAGTAGGAGCTGCCGTTATGGGAATCACCCAAAGAGCCGATGCGAACCGTGTATGATGGTACCATTTCATCTCTGAAAAGATCCGTCCCAGTATATATAGTTCCTCAAACAAATATTGAGATCCGTATCTATTATTAAGTCACTCCCAAATTGAACTGCCACAACTTTTAACCAGCCTTCGAAGATGTCAGTCTTCAATTATGTAATCGGCCGTGGTCTCCGCTACCTTTCTCCACCTAGGTCGTATTACCCAGGAAAAGATATCACATCTTAACTTTTATGAAAAGCTATATACTGTCTTTGTGTTATCAATATAGGTTTTAATACTTTAACGTGTTTTTAAGATTGGTGATTTTGGTTTGGCTAATTTTTACAGGGGTGATGAAGATCTCCACCTGACAAGTCGCATTGTATCCTTATGATACAGAGCGCCTGAGCTGCTGCTCGGTGATACTGAGTATGGACCAGCCATAGACATGTGGAGTGCAGGTTGCATTCTCGCTGAGCTATTCGCTGGAACACCAATCTTGGCAAGATGCACAGACGTAATTGGAACACTCTTATTACATTTTAGTTTCTTACCAACAACTAGCACTGGCTATATAATCCTAAGCACCATTTGTTAGATTTTTATTTTGAGTGTATGGTTCGGAAAAAACGCGAATCGAACACGTAGAAAAAAAATAAAAACATCTAGAGAAAGTCACAGTTGATGCAAATATCAGTTTTAAGGTTTGTATATTGATTATGTAAATTGATAATTTACAATCATTTAGACCCGTATTTATAGAATCTCAAATTTTGATATTCATTTTATCTTTAGGTTTTCTTAATCCTGATAACTTTGTTTTGTCTTTTTACTGGTGCATGGAGATTTAAGTTACTTCAGAATCAACTTTATAGAACACAGCTGTGAGATACTTATATGTTTTGATTCTCAGGTGGAGCAGATGCATAAGATCTTTAAGCTATGTGTTTCACCCTCAGAAGATTTTGGAGAAAAGAAACTTCGCCACTTGCAACAAATTTTAAACCAAGTCATCCTTATCAGGTTGTTCTTGCTGAGACTTTCAGTCATTTCCCTGCATCAGCTATGACACTCATAAACAAGCTACTGGCAATAGAGCCTGAGAAACGTGGCCCAGCTGCTTCTGCATTGAGAAGCAAAGTAATATACTGATACTAACCCTAAATCTATGCTTCTTTTACATGTTATTAGATGCATTATTATTATTAGTTTTAAAACTTTTGTTCTATTCAGTTCTTCACAACGGGGCCACTACCTACTAATCCATCAAACTTACCTAGATATCCACAAAGCAAGAACTTGACGCTAAGCTTCGCAACGAAGAAGCAAGAAAATAAGGCATGTTCAGTTCACTGTTCTTTCTCTCTTGTGGGTCTTTTCTTAATAAAGTTTGGGTTTGCAGAGTAAGGGCATGGTAAAAAGGGAAGTGACAAGGGGACGAGGAAAAGATCTTAAAACTGCACAGACACCTGAGTTTATAGCTGCACGGCAGTCCAAGGTCATGTGTATCAGCCATAAGTTCAAAACAGACGAGGAATGTGGCACATGTTTTACGATTGAACCACTTAGAAAAGGGATCCAGCAGTACAATGGTTCACCCAAGTGTTGCTGATACAGAATGGAACAGAGGAGGAAGCATCAAAAGGCAAACTAATGCAGAGCTGAAGTCAAAGATAACACAAACATGAGACTTGTCTGGTGATTCTTGTAGGAGAATTTCCAGCAAAGATTACTCAACCGTAAACCTCAAGTTTACTTTCTAGAGTTTTTTTTTAACCCTACGATACGATGTAATCTTTTTGACTCTTTTATAGGTGTAGTTGTTGGAGGATAATCTTTTCTTTTGTAACATTATATGGATTTTGTACCAGTAATGGAGACATTAATTATGGTGGTGGTAACGTACTGTATATGATTGCCTTCTTGTGTGATATTAACGACATATATAAATGGGACCATCACAAAAATTGTCAATGGGTATTTTACCAGCAATTTTATATGTGTTGCACATACTAACCATGTTGTCCTCTTCAATAGACATGAAGCTGATTTTTCTTTTCAAGCCTCAGATTGTTGGTGTCCTCCAACAAAAAGGCTGGTCCTTTGTTTCTTGCACCAGTTGCAGGAGCTTATAAAATCCAACACTTTCTTCCATTGCATTTGGATTAGATGGTGAAAGATTGTCATATTAATGTTGAATGGAAATAATATGTATCCACATTTTCTCCAGAAAAGAAATGTGATATAATTGCCAAAAGAAACAAAATCAAAGGAAAACACATGTATTTCTGAAAATAAAATACAAATAAAATAATTAACAGTTTCAAGTTAAAATTTGTTTCTATTAATTCTTAGAGTTCATGATAGTTGGGTTGATATGGATGGGGCACCACTGGGGCTTCACTACACAAATTAACAATACAAGGTAAATTTGTATTGTTGGCCTTTTGATTCATAAAATTTTATGAAAGTTTACCACCTATTATGAGTAGCTGTGCGATTCTTCTACAACCACTTTCTCCTTCTCGATAAAAGTATGAAAAGATCACCAGCGAAGAACAAATGATCTTTATGAATAAACATGCATTACAATCGTTCTCCCTTCGATGACATATACATTAACAATATATTCGACTCCGCGCTTGTGCGGGGGCTATCCACCTAGTGATAATTAATGTGAAACTGAAGGACTAATAGTTTCGACATGGTTTGGTATAGAATGAGTTGATTTGGTATATAATTTTATGCTGTTCAAATTATTTTAAAATTTGGTTCAATTTCGGTAATTTCGGTTTGGTTCAGGTCCGAGGATGGCTCGTGATAAATTCCAATTTCGATCCTTTCAAAGTGGTGTCGTATCAAATCAAAATCTCTCACTTGGGTATATCCGCCTTCTTCTTCTTCAACAACAACAACAATCTCACTCTCAGAGCCAACTGTACCGATACTTCTCCTGGAGCTCGATGTCTCAGTCTATCCAATTCTCCACTCCTTCACGCACTCCTCACCTTCTCCACCTCCCTCACTCACGCTTCCACCGTCCTCTCACTTCCTTATCCTTCCGCCAATCCCCTCTCAACTACACCTCCATCAGATCCCTCTCCCCTCCCTCTCTCAAACCACAAGAGAGATCCGTCGTCGTAGCCGCCGCCGTTTCCACGGACACATCGGGGATAGATGTAGACACCGTGACGGAAGCGGAGCTGAAGGAGAATGGATTCAGGAGCACGAGGAGGACGAAGCTGATCTGCACCATCGGACCTGCCACGTGCGGGTTCGAGCAGCTGGAAGCGCTCGCAGAGGGAGGCATGAACGTGGCGAGGCTCAACATGTGCCACGGAACGAGGGAGTGGCACAGAGATGTGATACGTAGCGTTAGGAAGCTTAATGAGGAGAAAGGATTCGCGGTTGCTATCATGATGGATACTGAAGGTAGTGAGATTCATATGGGAGATCTTGGCGGTGAAGCTTCTGCTAAATCCGAGGTTTTGTGTTCTCCATCTCAATCAGCTTCACATTGCTTTGTATAAGTTATTAGATGTTTGGTAGGCCTAGGCATTTGTAACTGAACCCGAGATTCTAACCGAATCCAAAAAAACCTGAATCCAGTATGTAAAAAAATACTCTAACTGATCATGGAGGGTGGTAGTTCCTGTCTAGAGTGTAAATGAAAAAGAAAAAAAAAACAACTTAAAGATATGATTTAGTATCTTGAGTATTTGAAACCTAAATAACTACATCAAATACTCAATTTCATGTTTATTTTTATCCCATCTGTAAATATATTTAATCCTAATTATCAGTGTTCTACAAATCGGTCTAGGGGTGCCTAGTGCCTAATCAGCAATTTTGGCGGGCTTTACTTGCTTGTTTAGTAAAGTGCGATTTTTTGAACATTGCTAATTATTAACCAAATCCTGAATGAGTTTGGATCTTAGATTGGTCTTAGGCAGCTTTAAAAAAATATACCTGAAGTTGAAGTTTTATTAACTAAATCCAGACACAAACATAGATAAACCCGAATGGGCCTCCGAGAGGCTCGGATCAGAACATGAACATGAACAACTTGAACGCCCATGCCTAATCCTTGATATGATATTTTGCAGGATGGTGAGGTTTGGACTTTTACTGTTAGAGCCTTTGATTCTTCTCGCCCTGCACGTACCATCAGTGTGAGCTATGATGGTTTCGCTGAAGGTAAATGCAACTATTTTTTGAGTTATGAAGAATGAAGTGGAAGTCAAGAATAATACTTTAGATGATGGTCTTGAGTTTGAAATTTAGAAACGTTTGTGATGATGCAGATGTAAGAGTTGGTGATGAGCTTCTGGTTGATGGTGGAATGGTGAGATTTGAAGTGATTGAGAAGATTGGTCCTGATGTCAAGTGTCTGTGTACCGACCCTGGACTGTTGCTTCCTCGAGCCAACTTGACTTTCTGGAGAGATGGAAGTCTTGTACGTGAGCGTAATGCTATGCTTCCAACAATCTCTTCCAAGGTCTGAATTTTTTTTTATTTTTCCTTTGATTTCTTGATGAAAACAAAGTGAATGATGTTTTAGTCAGAAACTAAAGCATATAGAATATATCCACTGAGGGAAAACAGACGCATGATTATTCAATTCTTTAATTTCAGGACTGGTTGGATATTGATTTTGGAATTGCTGAAGGTGTGGATTTCATTGCTGTATCGTTTGTCAAGTCAGCTGAAGTAATTAATCATCTTAAAAGCTATCTCGCTGCTCGTTCCTGTGGAGGGTAAGTAAAAGAATGTTCATTACCAACACATAATGTATTTTGGAATGGGTTTCTGCCTTCTGTGTAATACTATCTTTATATTGATGTTGTATTGCCTTTACGATGCAGTGACATAGGAGTGATTGCAAAGATCGAGAGTATTGATTCTTTAACAAACTTGGAAGAGATTATTCTGGCATCAGATGGAGCCATGGTTGCAAGAGGAGATCTAGGAGCTCAGATACCACTTGAGCAAGTTCCAGCAGCTCAACAGAGAATCGTCAAAGTCTGCAGAGCGCTTAACAAACCCGTCATTGTTGCTTCTCAGCTGCTCGAGTCCATGATCGAGTATCCAACTCCAACCAGAGCAGAAGTAGCCGACGTGTCTGAAGCAGTAAGGCAAAGATCAGACGCGTTGATGCTCTCTGGAGAATCAGCTATGGGTCAGTTCCCCGACAAGGCTCTCACGGTTCTCAGGAGTGTCAGTCTAAGGATCGAGAGATGGTGGAGGGAAGAGAAACGTTACGAGTCTACACCACTTCAACCCATAGGCTCCGGTTTTTCAGACAGAATCTCTGAAGAGATCTGTAACTCTGCTGCTAAAATGGGTAAACTTCATGTTCTTTTAGTTCCTCAAAAAGACAAATCTCTGTTTTTTTTTGGGTAAAACTTTTAAAAGGGATGCAATTTGGGACTTTCCGGGACCCATCCTAGTATTAATCTTACCAAACGCGTTTAATTGCGGAGTTCTGATGGGATCCGTTGCACTAGTGCTACTCTCTTTTTAGTTTCTCATTTTATGTTCAAACTTTTGCAGCAAACAACCTCGGAGTTGACGCGGTTTTCGTCTACACAAAGGACGGGCACATGGCGTCCTTAGTCTCCCGGTGTCGCCCGGACTGTCCGATCTTCGCTTTCACGAACACAACCTCAGTGAGAAGACGCTTAAACCTACAATGGGGACTGATCCCATTCCGGCTAAGCTTCTCAGAGGATATGGAGAACAACTTGAACAAAACATTCTCGTTACTGAAATCAAGAGGTATGATCAAATCTGGTGACCTCGTGGTCGCAGTCTCTGACATGTTGCAATCAATCCAGGTAATGAACGTTCCATAGATTCACACTCTCTATCTCTTTTACAAACACTGTTTTGTTTCCTACTTTGTTGCTCCGTAGACTTTCCTCTACATTAGTTTCCAAGGCATCATCGTTAGTTCGGTTTTTGTTAACAGTGGAGGTTGACATGAGTGTAAGCTTTGTTTATTTATTTTTCTGGCTTTCAATAATACCAGTAATAATATTTCGATTTTATGTCTTTTGTCGTTATAAAGATAGTAAAGGAAAGAGCCGTAGCTACTTGTTTAAAATACAACAATCGTGATCCGCTCTTCTTCGTTCATTTATAAATCATATAACTAAAAACAGAGTAGAGACAAGGAAACAACAACAATCGTGTCTAATAATAAGTAAGTGATTTGCGAAGAGCGCATGAGCTTGACTAGGCCATGACATAGGATTGGATTAGACCTGAAGCTGAAGAGGGTTCTTCGATTGCTTTGTATAATCCGGAGTAAGCCTTGCCGGTGCGAGAATGAACAAATGTGTGAAGGATGAGTACATGCTCTTGAATGACCTAGATTTGGGGTATTGAGTTTGGGAAATATGTCTTGGGAAACAATAAAATGGTCTTTTACAGAGGTAAGAAGGTGCCCCCAAGAATTTAAGTCAAGATATTTCTTTCCTTTTTTTCTAAGAATTTTAGATTTTTTCAAATAAAAAAAAAGTTTCTGTACAAACTAGTGCAGTTTTAGTCTAGCATGTGTGATAGTTTTTGAAACAAGATCAGTGATGCAAGACCGCCTAATCCTTATACAAAAACCAAACCACCATTGCTTGGTTAAAAGCTGTTGCTCCTCGTCCTTGTAGTGAACTGATTCAGTTTCTTATTTGCTTGTCGATGAACTTGATAAGAAGGCTCGGAGGTTGCTGGATTGTGTGGTGTCTTCTACCGTTTCTCTCAAGCCAAATTGTGTGTATTGAAATTTGAAATGCATATCTGAGGAGGAACTTCGTCAGTCCAGAGACACTCCACTTGTCGAAATGAGGTCGAGAATATGACTCCACATATGTGAGTAGCTTTGTCCAAGCAACTTTCCGAGTAAGATTCCTCCAAATAGCCTCTGTAAAAGAACAACTGAAGAAGAGGTGGTTACGGGTTTCAACAGCAGAATTGCAGGGAATGCACTGAGCACTCGCTTGAGGGTTTCACAGCAGAAGTCTGTCTCCTGTTGCCAGACGATTATGCACTGCAATCCAGGCCATGACAGAGTATTTGGGAGTTGGACCAGCGAACCAGATACCCTTATACCACAGAACTTTTGTCTGCTGCGCACGAGTCAAGTTTCAAGTCTGATTCGTGTTGAAACAAGGTCGAAACACATCTCTTTTTCCTTTCCACAATATCACATCGTCCTCTTCAATAAACCCCTGTGTTCTCAGCTTCAAGATCTCCTTATCAATGGTGATCAAGTTGTGTGCTCTGGAATGGCTACTCCATTAGTTTTGAATGACATACTTTACAGTAGCATTGAGATTAATCCCAAACGCCATGCATCCTTGCATATGTATGAGATCCATTATCCTAGCTTGAAAATTGTATTTCATCTTTTTGTATGAAATCAGATTTTAAATTTAGGATAACAATGCTATGAGATAATTAATTATAAATTAATTACCAAACACATAATTTTTTTATGCGTACACTAATATCATTATAAAAAATGACAATATAAAAAAATGAAGGATCTTATAATAAATGACATTATAAAAAAACAAGGAAGTATTAAAGACGGCGAACTGGCCATACCAATCCAGCTCGCCGGCTAGGCGAGCTGGCCGAGACCGACCAGCTCGCCAAGACGGCGAGTTGGCCGTACCGACCCAGCTCGCCAGCTTGGCGAGTTGGCCGAGACCGTCCGACTTGCCGGATTGGCAAGTTGGCCTCACCATCCGCACCATTACCCGTTGGTCGGCCGAACACAAGGCATATACCCTTCGACTCGATCATACTCTCAACCGTAATCGGAACATCTCTCGTTTCCTCTCGATCCGTATTATCGCTAAGACTTTACGATAAGACCGGTGGCTTTTGTGCCCATCCCTTTCGACTGGAAAAAGAGTATTTGGAATGTGCAGATAAGCTAAAAGATTTCCTATGGAAAATAGTCAAGAAAGCCATACCCGTCAGCACCAACTTAGCTTCCCATGGGATCACTTCCTTTCCGTGTAAAACCTGTCATGGTGTAGAGGATGATATCCATGTTTTTCTCTTCTGTTCGGTAGCTAAGAAAGTATGGGAGAATGCTCTGATATATTGGTCCCAGCCGTTTCAAGCAGAGTCAATGATGACTTTTATCTCATCTTGTGCACACCTTAAGACTCTCCCTCCTACAGGAATTTCCGTGCCTCTGTGGCCATGGATTCTCTGGAATCTATGGAAAGCACGGAACAAACGTTGTTTCGATGATCAAGTTCTTCTTCAGTATGAAGATTTTGAACAACTCTATTGCTGATGCCTGAGAATGGCAAGGAGCACAGGTATTTGCAGTGTCGATCTCTAGAGAGGATCGCGATTCCCTTCGAAATATACGCGTCCCTCAACTGCTCTCACCTTCTCCGAATATCATCTGTCATGTCGATGCGGCTTGGGATGCCAATTCCAGTAACTGTGGCATGGGAGGAGTTTTCTCAGGACATCCCTCTGAAGCCGACTTCCTCGGTTGTGCGAATCTCGCCCCCATGTTTCCTCTGCACTCATGGCTGAAGCGCTTGCAGTTCGTCTTGCGGTGATGACCGCAACCTTTGCAAACATTAAATCCCTTCTGATTATGTCCGACTCTCTCGACCTTGTCAAGCTTTTGGTAAGGAAAGAGTCTAGGCCAGCATTGTTTGGCATTGTGTTTGATATCTATCATTTTAGTTCTTATTTCGATGTAATCTCCTTTGCTCATGTACCCCGTTCTAGCAACGGTGAAGCCGATGTTTTGGCTAAATCAGCTCTCCATTTGCTCTCTGTAACCTCCGTTGGTGGAGCTTGTAACTGATTAAGGAATGAATTATGTTTGATCAAAAAAAAGAAGAGTAACGAGATTAAGAAAACCACAATGACAAGAGGTTTCGAAACAGCCTCTTGCTCCTTCTGCCAAGAATATTGTGTCTAGTCTCTCGGTCTATCATTTTGAAGATTGTTGCAGACTTGCAGCAGGGTCTAGTGATGAAGAGATTGCTGTGGAGGCGATTATTGCAATAACGTCATATGTTGAAATGGTGGTGATCGACAGTTTCCGCAAGACAGAAGAGCTCTTCCCAGCTGATGAATGTGGGACGGGACTGTTTTAATCTAGCCAACACACACCTTAAAATCTCAGAGCTAGAGCCACAAGATAGTTGAAAATGATCTCTAGTTTCATTCCCAAACAAACAAGAAGCACAAGCAGTCCATGAAGACAGTCTACGTATATATTACTAAATGTTTAGCGAGGAAATACATACAACTTCTTTATTCATGTAAAAGAAAAATTCCGTAAATTTAATTTAACTACATTTTACTAAACTTATTTTTTTTTTAATTTTGGGTGTATTTCAGATTCATAGAAAGATCTAGATTAATCTCGATATAGGTGGTGCAATCCACAAATAGACTCTTAATCCGAGTATTCAAATGAACTGTAAAATATACACGTATGCCCACAAGCCACAAGGTGAAATATAGTGGAGTGACTCTGTATCCGGGTTTAGCAACCCAATGTCCGTCATCTACTTAATCATCACCTTGTAGTTAGTCATTAAACATTTTAATACTTAAACTTTTTGTTATCCAGTAAATATATTTTTATGCGTTTTATCACACACACTTTGAAATTGTGTCCATTTTAATATCTAAACTGTGCTTATTTTAATCAAAAATCCTAATAAATTTCAGTTAAAATAAAAAATCTCTAAAGTTCAGAAAAAATCTTAAAATTTTTAATTTTCTTTTAAGCTTTTGAAAGAAATAAACTATGGAATCTTAAATTTTGTAATAAAAATGTTTAATTTTTAAATATTAAAAATGTTTAAACTTTTTCTAAATGTCAATTTTCCAATAGTTTAGTTACGTGCTTGCCTAAAAGTTAAAATAAAATTAGAAATTTAAAATATTCTTCCCTAGATTTCGGAATTTTTTTTAAAAAAATTAAAAATTGTTAACATTTTAATTAAAATAAACACAATTTAAGTTTTAATCTGAATACAGTTTTAAATGTTTTTGTATTAAAACGAGCAAATAATTAATTAAGGTATTAAAATAAATAGTGAAAGAGTTTAAGTATTAAAAAAATTAACAAAATTTAGTTAGAGTAATTTTTATTGAACTTTCCCTTATGTGAAACATTTGCAAATTTATTAAAAAATAATAAACATTTTTTTAAAATCCTTAAATTAGTTTTTTTTGTTAGTACATTTATGACATTTTATTTGGAGAAGGAACACTATATGATATTCCAAAGCTGAAATAATTAATCAGTTTTCGAGGTTTATAAGACATTTTCATTTTTGTAATCCACTAGGGCTAGGCAAGAGAACGTATTTTAATGATTAAATTTAGGGAGAATTTCAATTATATCACTTTGGTGATACCACTTTTCATGTTTACCATCAACTAAGGAACATTTTCAAAAATACACATTTTATTAATGGATAAAAGACTCTTATATCCTTATTCTTTATATATATACATAAAATAAAATATTAACCCTAAACCATAAAACATCAATTCTAAACTCTAGACCCTAAAAAGTAAACCCTAAACTCTAAAAATCAACCCTAAACCCTAAAATATCAATTCTAAAGCTTAAACCCTAAATTTTAAACCCTAAAAAGTAAACTCTAAACCCTAAAAAATCAACACTAAACCCTAAACTATCAATCCTAAACCCAAAATCCCAAACCCTAAATTCTAATAGTATTTTGACTATTAAATTTTTAGTGATAAAGTTGGTTAGTGTAAAGTTGAAAAGTGGTATCTTGAAAATGTTATTTCTGGCAATTTCCCTTAAATGGAATATAAATCAAGCTAATTTGGACGATTTGATTGTATCTTCTCCTGTATGCATCACTTTAATTGGTGGTTCCATCTCAATAAAGATTTGAGGAAGAATTTTTTTCTATAAAGTACAAAATAAAATTGATTTTTAATATCTATTCTTTCATTATTTATTCATCTAACTATTTTATTATTGTGTCTTTCCAAATAACTTGAGAACATTTATTAT